CAGCATCTCGTAGGTCGTCGAGTTGATTTGCGACGCAGTTCAAGGGTTACATTGCGTTGATTGCTTTCGTGCGTCCTTGGACCCGGCCAACGACGCGTCTGCCAGCCTGCAGTTGTTGCATCAGGTGGTGGTCACGCGTTACGCAATAGAACGCGTATGACCTTTAGAGGATTGAATGTAGTTGATGCAGAATTGAGTGGACAAGCCTGATATTCGGCTTGATGCACACCTTGATGCACACCATCTGTTTGTTAAATAGTCAAAGTTTCATGAGACACAATTGCCAGGCGGCTTCCGGTTCGCTCGCTGACCACTCTCATCGAGATTCTGACTGGCCGTTGAAATGTGATGGCCTCGCTATCTCAGTTCTCCTGCAATTGAACACCATCGGGCGTGTCTCTTTTGGCCCTTCTCAGTCGTACTGTCGCAGCTGGATCCAGTCAAAGGCTTCCGGATTCATGAACCATGGGGAACACGCTGAGGCTTGTGCTCGTTTTATTCTCATGAATTTCTATCCCCTGTCCTAATCCGTCAGCATTGAACAACCACTTACTTCCACAGTGTTCTGACTTTCTTATCAACCCCTGCCGTAGATCGACTACCCCCTGTCAACATGAACCTGTTCTGAACTCCTCTACTGTTTTGCACGGTGCTTCTTTCATTCCAAAAAATTTCGAATTTTTATGAAGTCTCCACCCCCACCGGGCTTCGTGTTTAGTAGTCTGTTTTCAATCCTCCACCCACAGTTTGTTGTTTTACCTCAAAAATGTCAATTCGGAATATGTGAATATTACTGCCATATGTATGATATACGAACTGCTAAAACGATCCCGGACACCAGTATCATTTCCTACTTCATCAGACTCCTCTTGCAACTCCATTGTACAATTGCTTGCTTTAACTAGACCCCTAGAGCATAATTACGGTAAATTATCTCACTGTTTAAACCAGTCCTCACATTGCACTAATATATTCATTCGGTCACTTCAAAATAAATCTCTTAGCATTAATGATAATAATGCCCATTCAGTCTTTTCTGTCTCTGCTTCTAGTTATCACCGATTATTGTAAGCGGGCTCCGGGTTTGAGGTTGTCCCAATGGACCTTGACTTAATCCAGGCATTTGAGTGTGGAAAACGGCCAAGGAACATACTGTCGAACCTATGTATCTTTAGCTGGGCCATTCAGTGGCTGAAGTGCAGAGAAACGCTTGTCTCGACTTTTGAAAGATGCGAATGTTCGTAGTATGCTGATGTAGTTTTCTGTATCCTGGAGGAGACAAGCATCCGAGGGGCGCTAGGACATCGAAGAGTGCTAGTCAGACGTACGTAACAGTTGACTGAGAGACTGGGAAACTCGCTGATGACATCAACGCCTGCTTCCTCCTCATCAGAACGCCCCTCATTACGGCCGTTAGTCCCAATGCGTTCTTCCTTTCCACCCGCTCCATCACTCCAAATCTGGCTGCGACGTGGTGAAACCGTGTAAATGCGAGTCCATTTGAATGTGGAATGACCATTGAGACCCACACGACAAATGCGTTCTCTCGACCTCGTTCTAGGATCAAAAAATCAATCCACCGACCTGATCGGACCTCTGACACAATCGGCCGATCTGGAGACTAACAGTGAAGACTGATGCAGCAATCCACGAGGTCGCTGGCAATGCTAAAATGCTGCTCGCAAGCTTTAGGCGCTGCGGGTTCACAACCCGAAAACACCGAGCTCCTGCCAACGAGTTCATGTTTCCAACGGAGATTACGCCCTCCAGCCGCCGACGTCCTCTACCACCATCATCGCTGCTTCATGTCCACAACGGCGACGACGACGACGACAACTTTCATCGCCAGCAAGAACACTAGCGATGGCCTGCCACCCACCACCAGTTCTTACGGTCGACATGGTCGAAAGGCTGACGATAAGTTAGTGGGAGGGTGCAAAGGGAGAATGTCTGTCACCTTGCAGTCGTGCAGATCGGTGATGAATCCGTGAAGGATTACACATTTGCAGTTGTCTGCGCCAAGATGGGATAAGCTATGGCTGCCAGGCACAATAGCTCCCTGCGATATTGCGTATGGAATGTCTGGAGCTCTGACGAAAGGTGGGGAAACGCTGGTTGGCGGCTCCTGGGGCGTGCGGATTATTAAGAAGTTGGATGAGTATCTCTGTGGCTCGTGTGAAGTCTAATGTGGGTTTAATCCCTGCGTCAATCGCACGTCAGCGTGCTGTGTGAGGTGGGGGGGGGGGATAAGAACAGTAACATGTAACAAGAAACGAGTAATAGATATTTTTCAGTGTTTGGACTATCTCATCACCGTCTGCTATAAATAGACCCTCCTCTTAACAACAACACTCCCCGCCACTCCAATACTGACTACTACGTGGTGATGCCGTGGAGGCGAGAGTCCATTTGAATGCGGGACGACCATCGAGACGTACGCTACTAATACGATCTGCCAATCTCTTTCTAGGACCAACGAATGAATCTACCGACCTGGGAGGACCACTGCCACAATCGGTCGATCTGGAGACAAACAGTGAAGACTGAAACAACTATCCATGTGGTCAAACAGATCCGACTCGCCAAAGCCAGAAAAGCGACTCGGAAGCTTCAGCTGGTGTGAGTTCATAGCCCTAACACGCAGTACCTTTCAACGAGTCCATGTTTTCAACGGATATTACGCCCTGCTACCGCCGAGGCCGTCTAAAACGCCCATCATCACTGCTCCATGTCCTTAGCGATGAGGACAACGGCGACTTACGCTAATTCCATCCCGAGGACCGTAAGAACACTCCCGATGCCTTGCAACCCCTCATCACCGCAACCACCACCAGCAACGCGGATTCGATACGCGACTTTCCCGCTTGTAATCGCACCTTCACGTCATGCATCGGCCTGGTTTGTCACTTACAAATCCATCGCATCGAGGCTGCCGAACCAGTGCCCGAAACAACAGAATATACCCGCAGGACCCGTCTCAGCTGCCTCCACTACCCACTCGTATTCAGTTGGCCCACTGGCCTACCCGGACTCATACACGCCGACGACAGCGGAATTCTCTGTGATGTTTGCACACCAAAGCCACCTCGTACATCTGCCAGCCTCCCCACCATCGGTGCTACCACCACCACCACCACCGCCACCGCCAAACAACAACAACACAACAGTTTCTAGCCTACATTGCGTATACTGACACCGCATATGCACATCATGTATCAGTCTGGAAAGTTAGGTGGGGATTCGAACAGTTAGTGGTTCATTCAGCATTCGTTACTCTCAGGGCAGAGAGAATGCGCCAGCCGAGTCACCTGACCAGTAGCCAAATCGGTGCACCGACGGGCCCAATCTGTTGGTTCCAACGCGTACACGCGGTGATAACTAATCAGTCAATCTGGTTAAATGGGGAAGTGGCAGCCTATAGGAACATCGATTTTACGGTAGCTACGATATCCACACATTCGGCAGTGATGAACACCAGTTTCTTCTTGACTTGTTTAATTTCCGAGGAAATTAGTGAGCGAACTTCGGACCATGCCTGTAATGGTCTGTTCCGAGGGATTTACGCCAAGTTCGCCCATGTATTTTCTCAGAAATTAAATAAGGCAGTGTGAAACTGGAGTTCATATACCAGAACGTACTCCTGCCTAAAGGTCAATTTCCAATAGAATACAACAGTCAGTTCCCAACGCCAGTAATAACACTCCCGAGGTCCTGCCACCCATCATCATTTCAGATGGTCGACACTGTCGAACGGCCGACGATAAGTTAGTGGGAGGGTGTAAAGGAGAATGGTTGTCACCTTGTGGTCGTGCAGATCGGTGAGGAATCGGTGGAGGATTAGACAGTCGCGGTCTGTCTCCAGCAAGTTGGGGCAAGCTATGGCTGCTAGGCACACTACCTCCGTGCGAAATTGTCTACGGACTGTGTGGGGCTTTGGCGGAGGGTGGTGAACGACTGGTTGGTGACAGCTGGGCGTGTGCATGTTCAAGAAGTTGGATGAGTATCTCTGTGGCACGTGGATAGTACAATGTGTGTTTAATTTCTGCGTCAGTCGCATGTCGGCGTGCTGGGTGAGGTGCTGGGGATATCAACCGCAAAATGTGACAATTTACGAGTAACCGATAATTTCTAGTGTTCGGACTATCTCGTCAGCGCCTGCCATGAATAGACTCTTCTCTTTCAACCCGTCCTGAACGTCC